CCCTCCTCTCGAGCCGCTCGCTGTCCTGTGGGGGTGTCTCTCCCGCTGCTGCGTCGGATATTCTGTGGGGCCTCTTTTGATTAGGGTTGTCGCTCTACCCCCGCCTGCCCCCAGCACTCTAAAATCAAGATTTAATGGTATAGGCACGCTCCGAGTTAACATATATCCAAGCCTGGCTCTCGAGTGTGGGTGCTGTGTAAATACGCGTTTTTAAACACACTTTTACACACCCCTGTAAACGTTCAGATAGCCGCCTCAACTGCAAATTAAGAGGAGGACTAGCGCATTCTCTCTCGTGCTTGACCCTCCTCTCCTGGCGCAAAGTTTCGGCTCCCAACCCTGCCCACCCTTGGGCTTGTATGAGCTCGGGGGTTTCGCCGCGAGGCTTTTTGGCCCGACCGTGGGCCGAGGCACGGTCAGGTACCTCTCGGCTTTTTATGTTTCGGGCCTCACACGGGGCCCCGCCGCTGCGAACAGATACTTTCGGAGGGTGCCCCCTCCTCTCGAGCCGCTCGCTGTCCTGTGGGGGTGTCTCTCCCGCTGCTGCGTCGGATATTCTGTGGGGCCTCTTTGGATTAGGGTTGTCGCTCTACCCCCGCCTGCCCCCAGCACTCTAAAATCAAGATTTAATGGTATAGGCACGCTCCGAGTTAACATATATCCAAGCCTGGCTCTCGAGTGTGGGTGCTGTGTAAAGGGTTCACATTAGTTTCCAAACCAACTCGCCGTGTGCCAAACCAGTTGGCCGATGTGATGTCGGCCCCCAGTTGTGCCAGCATTGTTTCTTATGTTGTGGGGGGGCGGGTGGGATTGGGCGAGGCCCGATGACTCCCTCGAGTTGGCAAGTTTGATTCATATTCCTTATTGGTGTATACCCTCACTCTGCCCTTTCCCCGGCGCCAAGACGGCCCTAGGAGGCCTCGAAAAGGCTCCCAAGAGGCCCCCAAGAGCGCCCCAAGAGGGCCCCAAGAGCGCCTCGAAAGTTCCCAAGAGCGTCCCAAGATGGCCCCAAGAGGCGCCAAGACGGCCCCAGAAGGCCTCCAAGAGGCTCCCAAGAGACCCCCAGAAGGCCTCAAGGGGATCCCCGAGGCAGGTCGGGGGTACGCAAAGCGTCCAGGTGGGGATACGCGAAGCGTCAAGAATAGGTGATAACGACGATGGTTCACTTCTCCATCGCAACGCGGGCGTGCCCAGCCCGATGCATGTAATTACACTGTGTCGCACCAGCGTATGACTACACTGCGTCGCACCACGGGTCGGGCGTGCTCTTGTCGAGCTTGCCGACGAGGATGAGGAGTTTGAGCATCAGACGGCCGACTACAGGCACACTCATCGTGTTGCCGATCATTAGGTTGAACTCGCGATCCGTCACCTTGCGGCCCTTCTCTGTGAGCAGACCTTTCCAGTTCAGGCGGCCTTTTGGGAAGCCCTGGATAGCCAACATCTCGGTCGTGTCCATCATGCGGGAGTGGCGGGTCAGGTAGTAGCCGCCGGCACTTGCCCTGGTCCTAGTCAGAGTCGGGAACTTGCCGACTTGCCAATTGTCGCCGAACTTCTCGGACTGGTACACGTCCAAGATGATGTCGTCCTTCGCAAGGTCGTAGCCCGCATCCTTGACAACGCCAAGCAGGCGGGCGAGGTTGTTCAGGCAGGTCATGTCGGTAGGGATGTTGGCTGGCAGCGTCGGGTCGATGAAGTCCGCCACGCGCTTCAGTGGTAAAGAGGTGGGCCATTCAAACGATTGGCCCTTCGATCGGCTGCGCAACCATCCCACGATGTAGGTCCGAGCCCTCGTGGTCGGGAGCCCGTGGTCATCCAAGTTCACCTTGCGATACTCCACCTCGTAGAGGGACTCGCCATTCTTGGAGATGGCCCCCTGCCGGATGCGGTCCACGAACTTGTTCAGGGTCTTCCTGTGTTTGCCCATGAGAGTGGGCGGTTCTTCGATCACGAAGCAGGCGGGCTTCTGAGTGGTGATGTAGTCGGCGCAGTCCAAGATGATCTGGCCCCGGCTGTCACCCTCCCCGCTCTGGTTGCCACCCATCGCGAAGGGCTGACATGGGGGCCACGCGGCATATACGTCCACCTTGGGGACCTGACTGACTGTGCGATCAGCCGTCTTGCATGAGTGGTAGACCTTCTTGATGCCGTGATTGGCCTGCAAGACGGCGCGGGTTTGTTGGTCAATCTCGCTGGCGAATTCGTGGCTGATCTTGTCCTTGCCGATGATCATCTCCAGCGCCACCGCGTGAGAGCAGAGGCCATCGCAGTCGCCGCCCAGGCGGATGATGTCTTTGCCACGCGCCTTGACGTAGCTCTTGATAGCATGTTTATGCACTTGCTTAGGCTCCGAACTCTTCCTCTTCGATTTGGCTGCGGCCGAAGGTTTGCTCATCACTGCGGCTCTGGGTGCAGAAGCTGGCTTCTTCGCCGGCGTCGCATTCCCCGTGGTCTCAGCAGACAACCCATTGCGAGCTAGGCGTTGGGATCTCAGCATGGCCGCCCTCTCCTGGAGCCGTCGAACAGCTCTGCTCTCCATGGTGCGCGAATGCCTTGCCACTGCGTAAGATATTGTATGGCAAGTGAGTTTGAGCTAAAACTGGCTATGGATGATGCGGTGGTGATGATAACAATGATGATGGTGGTGCTGATGGACGGCACAGAGTATGGACGAAGATGATCGACGAGACGGTGATGATCAGGACCACGATGGTAACCATGATGATGGATAGTCGTGATGGGGGGGTATGGTTGGTGTTGATCACGATGTTATTAATCACCATTGGGTGATTGTGGACATTGGCATGGCTGCGATGCTGATGATGGTGATGGGGCTGGGGACGATGCTCTTTTTTTGTCAGTGGCTATTGCCAAATAGCGTACCGTATGCTGCACGTCCAGCGCTTCCCAGTCTGATCCCCGACCACCGAAGAACGCGAGGCACATTGTTGGCAACCCTGCCTGGCCATGCTAGCAGCGTAAATCATGGCCAATGCATGTGATATCCATGCCCCAGAAGCAGCATCCGAGGCGGGCCGTATCGCTGCGAGGCCTGCTGGATGACCAGAAGCGCGCGTAAAGAAAAGAGCACGCAGCCACCCTCGGAGGTTCTAAGAAGATCGCTCGTCCTCATCATCCTCATCACGGTCGTGCTGGCTTGGATCATCATCCTCATCATCGGCGGGCGCCCTTGCCCCCGGCTCATCCGTGCCCTTGCCCTTCTCGACGGCGGCGCCCTTGTTCCCGCTCGGGTCGCTGCCTGTGAGGGCCTTGATCTTGGCAAGCAGCGCCTCCTTATCACCAGCGCCCTCTTGACTCACTTTCGGCACAGCCTTAGGCTGCTTTGGCTGCTGACTCTTCTTGCGCCTCTTGGGGTCCTGTTTCCCAGGGTCCTGCGGCGTCGTGTCTTTGGCGCAATTTGCCACCGCCTCGGAAAGCAAAGGACTGAACAGGGAACTCTTTTTATCCAAGAACTGCCGAACCATCTCTGCGAGCAGGAAGTCTTTCGTCTGATCCGCGTGGAACTTGTTGAAGGTCACTCCCACCCACAAGAGCTTCAGCATTATCGCAACCATGGCGAAGACGCCCTGGTTGGGCGTGAGGTCCACCATGGAGGTCAAGCCCAGGCAATGCGCGATCTCCTCGGCGGCGTCCTGGGGGATGGACTTGTAGAACACCGGAATCCCCTCGTCCTTGCCAGGCACGGGGTCGGGCCCATCATCGGTCGGGCCACCCACTGCAGTACGGTGCTTGTCGTACAAGGTCTTTTTCTCTGCCTGGGTCAGCTTGAAGATGCCCGCGTCGTCGTACTTCGGCAGCGCGACTGGGCCGAGAATCATGCCGCGCGCAGCCCCCGGGAAGTGGAGCTTCTTCTTGACTGCGAGCGCCACGGGTTCCGCAGCCACGATGTTGAAGGTCTCGGTCTGGTTGATGGTGCCCCTGACGCGGTCCATCCGCGCTGTGACAGTCTCCTCGTCAAAGAGCAGCATCTTGGAGATCTTGTTCCTCGGCATGCTGGTCCCGTCCTCGCATCTGAAGGCTGACATCATGGTGTTATCAAGACCGTCCTTGTTGCCGTTGAACAGGATGATGTAGTCCGCAGGGTTGATGCCCTTGTAGTCCGCACCGCAAGCTTTGCCTCGGACCTTCAGGGCAATGTGCATGAGCCGCTTGTAGTGGGCGTCGCGGTAGGGAGCGCAGCGCGTCTTCGGATTGGTTATGGCCTCGCCGCTGAAGGAGACGCTGTAGATCACCCCGACGTGGGTGCTGAAGCCTGGCACATTGCCAGGGACGTCCTGGCGAGTCTTCCGCGCGACAGGCTGGTACACGGCAGCGCGGACCTTCTCCAAAGTCGCCTCGAGCTGGTCCTCTGAGCCGTCCGCGACGTCCTCTGAGAGACTGAGGTCCAAACTCATCCTTGGAAATGGACCCAGTGCCGCAAAACAAAATGGGAAATTATCTCAGTGCGACCCTACCTAGGAGTTGGAGCCCCCTGGAAAGCATAAGCTAAGCTAAGCTAAGCTAAGCTGAGATGGGCTAAGCTAAGCTAAGCTAAACTAAGATAAGCTAAGCTAAGCTAAGCTAAGATGATGTAGTCTCAGCTGGTCTAAGTTAGGCTAAGCTATGCTATGATATGCTAAGCTAAGCCAAGCCAAGCTAAGCTAGGCTAGGCTAAGCTAAGCAAAGCTAAGTTAAGCAAAGCTAAGCTGAGCTAAACTGAGCTAAGCAAAGCTAAGCTAAGATGAGATAAGCTAAGCTAAGCTAAGGGGGCGCCACTGGGGGAACCGCGGGGCGGGGACTGGGGGAACCGCGCGGGGTGGGGAACACTGCCCGACCCCTTTCAGCCAAGAAAGTAAGAGCCCTCAAGGCAGAGCCTAGGTAGGGAACCTGAGACGTTTCTGCAAGGATGGTATTGGATGTCAGTCTGCTATCCTCAACGAAAGCCAAGTGCGTGCGCATCAATGTGAGGGTTCAACAGAAGGCGGTGATTGATGGACTGCCTTTTGACAGGGGTCTGAATGGAGCCCTCGTTCGCCGACGCACCTGGGCTCATTGCTATGGAAAGCTGGACCTCATCCGCCTCGCCCATGTCTGGAAGATCGCCGCCGTCCTCGTCGTCGCCGTCCCCGCAGGCATCACCCTTGGCCTCGTTCTGGAGATCCTCCGCCGCCTCGTTCATGAGCTCCTTGAGGCCTGGCGAGGTCAACATATCCGCCACGGCCTTCTTGGCCCGAATCGCAGGCTTGATCACCCCCTCATCGTAGGCGTCGCTGTAGATGAGCGCCTCGAAGATGCCACAGAAAGAATCAGCAGCAGTTGAAAAGGACGCTTTCCAAGATAAGTCCGCCTCCTCATCGGAGAGCCCGTTGCTGGCGCGGTACGTGGCGTGATCAGAGAGGGACGTGCGAAAGGATTCCTTGACGTGAGATGGCAAGTCCGAGTTGTCCAACCAAGTGGAAGTGAGGTAGGTCTTCACCGTGTGCTTGAAGCAGCACACCTCAACCTTGCCGACGCGCTCGTTGGGTTCTGCCTTAGCAGTGGTCTTGCCCAGTAGGTCGCGCACTCCAGGAACCACTCTGTTCAAAGGGGTCTTGGATTTATGCTCGTCCCACAAGCTCCGAACTGTCCAAATGATCATTGCTGGCGTTTTCGCCTTCGACACGATGGCGTACAGCTTGCTCACGCTGTCGAAGGCCGTTGCCTCGCAGGTGTCCTCGGCGTCCGACAGAATGTTCATGACTCCGCTGATCGAGAGCATGCGCTTGACGATGGTGAGGGCGTTGTCCACAAAGTTGGCCGTGACCTGCTCCTCGGGATCTTTGATGTTGCAATGCTTTTTGTACTCTATTTCGATTGCCTTGGAACTCATCGGCCCCGAGGGCTTCTCCTTCCGAGCCTAGAAGCTTGACACCTCGAGGATGCGACCGAGGGCGGTGCGGCCCATGAGCCGCTTGTGGTCACTCAAGTTCTCACGCAAGCGCACGGCGGAGAAATGGACATCGTCCATGGACTCCAGCTTGGCGAAAGTGAATTCCGCGGAGAGCGCGTATTCCAACCACTGCTTCAACTCCTGTGGGATACCCCATCAGCACCACCCAATGTCTCTTTCGCCGCCCCTCTCCACCCACCCTGTCGTGGGAGAGAGGGGCGGTGAAAAGCACACTGGATGGTGCAGATGGGGTATCCCGCATTCTTCTCTGGCCGATTCATGGCAATCGCGTTCCCCAGGCCGATCACCCACGCGTGGATGGACTCCGGCGGCGTGGTCAGCTTCAGCTCCCCGGCAGCCAGCGTGGCCTTGAGGGTCTCCTCCGAGATGTTGGCAGAGAGGAACGCGTGAATGGGCAGGCACGGAGGCCCCGGGCGCTCGCCAAGAGCGTAGTGGTGCTCGCTCAGCTCGGTCATTTTCTTGAGGCTGATCGGGACCCCAGGGTTGGCTTGGAAATTGAATATCACCCAGAAGACGTTGCCTCCGCCAGAGACCGCTCCAGAGCCTGAGCCCCCAGTCATGGCATTGACCACGTCACCAATCTCAATGGGCTTGCGCATCCCGACGGCGTTGGGGCGGTCAGTGTTGACGCCCATCTGCAGCGGGTCGAACGCCCGAATACCTTCGAACAAGTGGTGGCTGAGGATCCGCTGGACATGCTCGTCGATCACAGACAGTTACTTGGCATTGATGGCGGCGTCGCCCTCGTCCATCAGGCCCGCCGGCTGCGGCGGCCCCGGCAGTGCACTGGCCTTCGGGGAGGCCTTGGCCTTAGCCCTGGATGTCGCCTCCTTGGGCGGGCACGGACGCTTACCCATATCCTCCAAGGAGTCAAGAAAGGATCCAAAACACCTTGATATCAAAAACGCTATCCATGATGACAATGATGATGGCAATGACGATGATGATGATGGTGGTGGTGATGATGATAATGATGCTGATGATGCTGATGCTGATGCTGATGATGATGATGATAATGATGATGATGATGCTGATGATGATGGTGATGATGAGGATGCGATTGCAATGACAATCATGAAATTGAAGAGACAGGGACTTGAGAGGGTGGCGGGGAGAAGGGGCCGAGGGTGAGGAGAAGCATAAAGAGGAGCAGGAGGAGCAGGAGGAGCAGGATGGGGGAGTAAAAGGTGGCGAGGGGAGAAAGAGCAAGGAGAAGGGAAGGCGAGAACGGGCGGGGTAGGAGGGGAGGGGCAAGGAAAGAGAGGGAGGAGGCGGAGGAGGGAGGAATGAAGCAACCATTATGGCAGCAGTGCTGACGATGACGAGTAGACCGCATCAACTTGTCGACTTGGGGGCGCCCCTCCAGACCAGACCAGAGCCACGGATTGCCGAGTCTAGGTCCGACCACGCGGACTGAGACTCAGCAGGCCAGGACGCCCCGGCCTGCCGAGTCTGGGTCCGACAAATCGCAAATCGTACCGCCCAGCCCTGACGAGAGAAACATCGGTTGATTTTCTTAGTTGGCGGACCGAGACTCAGCAGGCCAGGGCGTCCCCGCCTGCCGAGTCTCAGTCCGCTCGGTCGGACCGAGACCCAGCAGGGCCTAGAAAATTAACGCACATTCTGAACATATCGGCGTTGTGGCGGGCAAGGTGCCGAGATTCAGCAGGCCAGGACGTCCCCGCCTGCCGAGTCTCTCGCTTTCGAGCGCGAGACTCAGCAGGCCAGGACGTCCCCGCCTGCCGAGTCTCTCGCTTTCGAGCGCGAGACTCAGCATGCCAGGACGTCCCCGCCTGCCGAGTCTCTCGCTTTCGAGCGCGAGACTCAGCATGCCAGGACGTCCCCGCCTGCCGAGTCTCTCGATATCGAGTGCGAGACTCAGCATTCCAGGACGTCCCCGCCTGCCGAGTTTCCGAGACTCAGCATTCCAGGACGCCCCCGCCTGCCGAGTCTAGGTCCGCTCGGTCGGATCGTGACCCCTCAGGGTCAGGAAACGCCTCATCATCCTCATCCCCTTCCCCTCATCATCATCCCTCCCTCCTCTTCCTCCCTCCTCCTCTTCATCCTCCATCAGTACCCCTATCTACCTCCCCACATCCCTCATCATCCTTTCCTCCACCCTCCATCCATACATCCCGCTCCTCATCACTATCCTCCTCACCGACGGTGGGTCAGCAGCAGGGCGATCCTGCTCGAGCTGGTCGTACTTGTTGCACGGCCGCGCGCGCGACCCCCTACATATCTCCCACCACTACTACCAATACCACTACCACTACCGCTACCACTACCACTACCACTACCACTACCACTACCACTACCACTACCACTACCACCACTACTACCACCACTACTACCACCACTACTACTATTACTACGACTACTACTACTACTACTACTACTACCACCACCACTACGTACCGTGGGGCGGAGGAGGAGGAGGATGAATAGCAGCATCAATGGACGTCACCACAGGAGCATTTTTCCTGTTTTTCCGATAGGCGCGCCCCTACGTGCCTTCTTAGCTCTCAAGAACATACGACCCCCGTGCATCTAGATTCGCAAACCAAATTGTGGAATCTCTCGCAGGGCGAGCTTAACCCTGACATTCCTGAGCTCGTCGAATTGCTGCTCGGCAAGAGATACAAACGCCAGGGCCTGAGAACGCGTGGATGCCTTGTTAGCTTTCACAAGAATATCAGCCTTGGACACAGCTGTTTTCCACTTCCCGTTTGATTGTGCAATTTTGCGAAGGATGATCGCAGTACATGTCGGGTTGGGGTCAATGAAGTTGTCGGAAATCCAAACGAAGCGCTTTGTCTTTAAAGCAGAAATGTAAGTCATCGCAACACCATCTTTTATCAGTGGATCCGGCCTTTCTCTTCAAGTACGCCACATCACATACCGTGCCACCGCCCAGCGCCACGCAGAGCCGAGTTTTAAAGCCAACGGTATCTGCCAAACTCCGCGCAACGAAGACGGTCGCATCGTCCCTATTCATAGTCCTCACCAGGCCACATTTTGCAATATATGTAGTTTCCTTGTCGGGAAGCGATTGCACTTCACGCACGAACACTTTGACCCTGACGCAGCTCTGTCCGCCTTCATTGTTCGAGCCACGTCCAGCAATGGCAGAGAAGGATGCATCCAGGGAGAACCAGTATTGGATCCAACTTGGGGCCATCCTGAGACCCAGGGAAGGGGACTGGGGAAAGTCCCGTAGAGAGGGACGCCAGAACATCCCAGGAAGCTCACCCCGTCATGGTTTCACGAGTGTCCCGCATGGTTTCACTGCTGTCACCCCTCATGGTTTCACGACTGCCCCCCATCATGGCGTCACGGAGTTCACGATTGCCTTCCTCATAGTATCAAAAGTCTCTCAGTGCGACCCTACCTAGGAGTTGGAGCCCCTAGGAAAACAGCATAAGCTAAGCTAAGCTAAGTTAAGCTAATATGAGCTAAGCTAAGCTAAGCTAGGCTAGGCTAGGCTAAGCTAAGCTAAGCTAAGCTAAGATGGGATAAGCTAGGCTAAGCTAAGCCAAGCTAAGCTAAGCTAGGCTAGGCTAGGTTAAGCTAAGCTAACGCTAGCGCTAACGCTAAGCTAAGCGAAGCTAGGATCAGCTAAGCTCCGCTAAGCTAGGCTGAACTGAGCTAAGATGAGATAAGCTAAGCTTAGCTAAGCTAAGCTAAGCTAAGCTCACCCAGGGGGCGCAACTAGGGGAACCGCGGGGCGGGGACTGGGGGAACCGCCCGTGGCGGTTAGCACTGCCCGGCCCCTTTAAGCACAGAAAGTAAGAACCTTCTAGGCAGAGCCTAGGTAGGGACATATTATTTGCGGTGCTGATTTGTTTTGCAGCTGGTGGTGATGTGTTTGGTGTTGTTGGCGGTGCTGCGTGTACTCTTATCGATGGTGCAGTGTGATTGTTGCTGGTGGTGCTGCTGCGTGACTTGGTTGCTGGAGGGATGGGTTGGATGAGGATGAGGGTGAGGACGGAACAAAAGGAGGAGGAATAGGAGGAGTGACGTTGAAGAGGAGGAGGGGGACTTGCGGGAGGAAAGGGGGACCTACGGAGAGGGGGGGGATAAAGAAATATACAGGGCAACGAAGGGAACAAATCTGGATTTGGGCAGCACGCCCCCCCCTCATCCATCTGCGCCGGACAGGAACTGGGAGGAGGGAGTTACAATATGAGGGAGGGGGGACCAGGGGGAGTGAGATACAGGTTGGGCGCGCGGTACAAACGCTTTCAAGACACGCGACACCTGATCCGAGAGCTTGCAGTCGATGAAAGCACATCGGCTGACCAAAGAAAGGCCAACATGACGTTGAGGTGCCAAGCTTTTTCGACGGCCTCTTTCTGAAGCCTTTCATCAGTCTTGCATACAATCTTTTGTCGACGCAGAACTGCTGCGTCAAGGTCCTCGACTCGTTCTTCCTGTAAAAGAACACCATGACCCGCTGCATCTAAATATTTGTGCACATACTTTGGCTCATTGAAATATTTCTCCTTGGCATGTTTTGACGTCCACGCTGCATGCGACGCTGCATCTGGGATTTGTGCACGCTCCGTGGCCTCCGCGATGAACTTTGACACAGCTGCTCGCCGGTGGTCAATGAAGGCTTTTTCGGTGCTTTCTTTCGCTGCCCCACTTTGCTGTAGGCGGCGCTTCTTCGGAGCTGACTTCCGCGTCTTGGCGAACCATCTTGAGAAAAACCTCCGGACTTCACTATTGCTGGCCATTCCCTCTTATCTTTTGCACTGAGAATTTCCATTTCATCAAGAGTGTGATCATGCAAAAGAAGACCCCTTTCGTGGCCCCATTGCCATATCAGCTTGTGAGAACAGCCGCTCCACGCCAGTGCTAGATACACACCATGATGCGTATCGAAAAAGAGTGGCTCTCAAGACTGCTGGCTGTCGTCCGCGCCTGTCTGAAGTAGTGGTTGACGTCCAAGCCTCTGAGGTTACTGCAAGCATGCTGGCCATGAGATTCACGAGCACATGTGAGATATTGGGTGTATTCGCTCCACAACTGTCCAAAGTCAAACTTCAGAATTTGCGCCAAACGTCGGAGCCCTTTATGGGCCGCCCCGCCATCTGCCAGAAATAATTGAAAACCGTCGATTGATAAATGTTCCATTTGGCCCAGATCAAACCCGACAAAACTTTGAATCACTTCAAACTCTGGAAACTCAGCTTTTGCTATGGATTCTGCCTCCAAGACCCAAGCTTGCATTCGGCCGAGCGCGCGTCCCACAATGTCTGGCGTCGCCCCCGCCGTAGGCGTCCCAATCTGTTTCGGCTGCCCATCCAAAGCGAACACGCACCGACCACCATTGGCGATATGCAGGCATATACCGTCGAAGTAGAGCGCTCGTATGCGGCCCAAATACCCATCCAGCGAGTTTAGTTGGATCAAAATCTTCTGAGTCGAATCGCTGCACAAGGGAATGGGTTTCGTCGCCGGCATCTGCCATCATCCCAGAGGCGCAATCGATCCCGATTTGGGATCGCATGATATAGATGACCAAGACAAGTCTAAACCGATCCCAATTGTCTCTTTAGACAACATGTTAAATGTAGGACATTCCATCGCAACTACTTTCTTACGATCTTAAAAAAAAAACGCCAGCCAC